GGCCTTCCTGTCCTTCACTGCCTCCCTGAGTTTGCTGTTTCATGCTCATCAGCCATCTGCTGAGCCACAAAGCCCATTTGGTGGCTCTGGCCCACGGTGCTTTCAGCCAGAGTTCTCCCACCATTCGTGTGAAGGTACAACCAGGTATTCCCCCAGGTTGGGCTGAGCAAGCCCAGCCAAGAGACCCTTGAGATGGCAGGCAGGAACGAACCTCTGGCATTTGTGTCTCTCCTCTGTCCTTCTTTTGTTCTCTATGAACCCAGAAGTTAGGGAGGAGAGGAAATGTGCTGGATAAGCTTTTGGATCACTTCTGAAAACTGAAGAAGGATCAGCAGGTTTATTGTAGGCCGCCTGAACACATTGCTGCCACTGCAGGTGGATGCCAGCTTGTGGGCTGGAGGTGCCTTATTTTAAAAAAGGGGATTTTATTTGAAGGCCCACCTGGAACTGCCAGTTGAACATGAAAGCATGCTGAGGCCAAATATTCCTAGATGTTTATGTTTATTCAGAACTGAGACCTTCAATAAGTCCCCAGCTATGGGAGGGCCTAAACTGAGAGCGACATCTTTAAAATAAGGTAGTCAGCATTGCTCCCAGCAAAGGGCAGAGTGAGACAGGAGTGGCAATTAGTATTAATTAAGAAATGTCTGCCTGGCCCATCTAAGAGCGCATCACATTTTTCTTCTGTAAGAGTTCGAAGTCATCTTTGCCACAAGGGTTTGGTGACAGGCACATGGGTATGTGTGCTTTCCCATTTGCCTCCCTCCTTCCCCCTTTCTGGCGAACACTGAGGGGGCTTATTCTGTGTCAGTGAGAATGGAAGGGACCCCCCACAATGACATTCCCCAACAGCTCTCTCAGCCTCGTTCAGAGATGGCTCGCGAGTGATTTGTTGAGAGCTGTCACAGCCAGAAATTTGCTCAGACTAAATTATCTTAATTGCCTGCCGAGCCCTTATTACATTAATTGGATGAGCATAAAAAAATGGTCATCTGCTCCACAGTTTTCAATATAAGCTTCTGCAAACCTTTTTTTTTTTTTTGAGCTGCCTGCTGAGATAATGAATGAGCGCCTCTTTTTTCATCTCATTAAGATGGTGGTTGGGAGCTTGATTTTTGTCTTGATTTTTTTACATCTCCCTTTCTGTTCCAGGGGGAGAAAAAAAACTAAGGCAGGTGTTGATTTTCTGGTTTTACTTACCTTTTTCAACAAGTGAGAGGGCTGTCTTGAGAGGATCTGTTTCCTTAGAGAAGAATGCTCCGTACAGCACAGTGACAGTGACTGATGGAAACCTGTTTTTGTACACATTGGCCAGGTGTGCCCAGGCAGGCATACGGAAGTGTCCCTTTCCACGGCAATTTTAGCTAAGTCACCCCAAATCCAGGTGGTTCTCTAATTTCGCTTCTCACCAATATCATTTGTGATGCATTCGTCCCACAGAACTCCTGCTGATAAGTCTATACCCTCTCAGCCGGGTCAGAGAGAGGAACCCGGCCTGCTCAGCAGGATTTTGGATGTCGGAGGAAGACGGGAATTCGCTTCCCTTTTGGGGGGTGTTCTTGAAAGTGATATTTGGGGGAGCGAATTTGCATTAAAACCAAGCAAAGGAATCACAGTTTAGGTTCATTGTTGAAAGCTGCATGTGTTTCCGCCTGTCTGCTGAACGCAACAGCCACAACCGTAGTATTTTTTTCAGACTTTTGCCATTAGGCTGAATTGTTGAGCAGATTGGGAAATAGTTGCTGGCATAGCCACCTGTAGTGATCTGGAAGCTCCCACAGGTGACCAGACATAGCAGTTTCAGAAAATAGGAAATGAACTTTTGTTCTGTGTTGCTTTTTAAAGGGGTTTGTGCCATAAGGGACAACTTAGGTGTTGGTGGGCAGATTTCTTGCCTAGAAGGCTATCAATCCTTGTAAATCTCCACAAGCAAAGAGAGACTTTTCTTTTTCAAATAGTATTGCATAAAAATAACTTGTTGTTGTTAAACCTGCTGGGGTTCCTGTGAATATGCCCAGTACCTCCAGCAGGGAATTTGCATCCTTCCCTTCCCATCCAAGTCTGAGAAAGAATGTTTTTCTTTATCCCATTGCGTTGTCAAGTTGTGCGACTCCCATGACTTTCCCTGACATTGTCCTGAGTGGTGTGGGCAACAAAAACAGTTGTTCTTTAAGTAGCCAGAGCCTCGTCTTTCTAAAGTACAAGACAGTTAATATCTGGGTTTGCTCTTTCACTGAAAAGTTTTACAGCTTTTGGTTTAAAAATAGTTTGCAGGAGCCCAGGAAAGTAGATGAGGCCTTGGCAGAAGATGGCAGATGAACTGGCGTGATTTGATGATGGGCTCTTTGCCCAGGACACTTTTTATAGCGCATACAGTTATTGGCGTGTGGGGTTCTCATACTGAGTTCATCTCGGACTGTAAGAATTTGTTCTTTAAAAGGGACACTGTGTTTCACACTGGGAAGGGTTACGTGTACCCCAGATCTATTTTTTAAAAATGAAGTTTTAAAAATGTTCATTGATTTAAGACAACATTGAAAGGACTAACAAAGGAATGTACCCTGAGCTAACCCTTTGTTTGGGTGGGGGAACATAACACACAAATGTATCTAAACCCTGATCTTTAAGGGTTAGTTTTCCATTTCTACCCAAGAGAGATAAATACTTGATTTTCCTCTCTCTTTTTGTTTGAAAGAGAAGGGAGGTGTTACTTCTGTAGTAAGGGCAAGACTAGACCCAACTTCTTTGTATTTCCAAGGGTTGTGATCCTTCTCATTTCAGTTTAAGCGGTATGTTAATAAGCTTCGAAGCAAAAATACCCTCTACAAGAAGAAGCGCCTGGAAATAGCAGAGATTACAGCAGAGTATGGCATCCTGCAGAGAACAGAAGAGCTCCTGAGACAACGGCACGAAGATATTCAGCAGCAACTGGTAATTGCCCATGCCTTCTGTAAAGCCAAGCTTGTGTTGGTTCATGGCAGCATCAACGTGAGATCCTGGGCCCATCTAAAATTCCACAGAGGGCCCTGGGAGCGCTGGCAGAGTAGACGAAGAAAGGAAAAATCATTAGCTGGGTTTACATGATATGGTTTGTTTGGTTAGTGTGTTGTGGAAATCCAGCCAATTGTGGCTTAGTTAACAATTGAGAGCTAAGCAAACCATGGTCTAGCTTGCATGAATCCAGTCATTCTGTCAGTCGCCACATATTTAAACTTAATTGCAGACACCATGGTTCCCATGGTATTTCATGTCCAAACAGCCGTTTCTGTGATTTTCTTTTTAGAAATCACCCAGGGTTTGTAGTTGGCCCCATCCTCAAAGCTGTTTATCTCTTAGAGAAATAAGACAAGTGGCAAAATACATCGCCATCTTTTCCCAGGGACATTCTTCTGAAAACAGAGCAGCCGAGGAGTGAGTAAGGCTGAGAGATTACCATATAATTTGTCCCTCTTTATTTGGGAGCAAAAGACATGGCTAAGTAAACAACAGAGGTATATTCAGAACAACTTTGTTGGATGGATTAAAGTCATGGGTTACTCCAAATGTAGCAATGGTTTTCAAAAAGGGGATGGTAGTTCTAAGTCGTTTCCCTGGGCTTTTGGCCAGGTAGCTTAGCTACTCTAAGGAAAGAGGTCCTGGCATGACATCTGAACTGTTATAAATAATTTCCCTATCAGCCAGCCAGTTAAAAAACCCAGCCTTGGACAGTCCTTAACTTGACCTATAAATTCCTTACAATAATTGTCATTGCAGTTCATAAGTGATTTGCTCCCTGGCTGTCAAGACTTAGATCAGGGTGGCCAGGAGTTAAAGGTGACTGGAACATCTGGACGAGGATGTCTGAAGGCTGATCCATACTGAAAGTTTCGTTTCTGTCCTTGTCCTACCAGCAAGCCATTGAAGACAAGAAGGGTATCTCTGGATACAGCTATACGCAGGAGGAGCTGGAGAGGGTGTCGGCAGTCAAGAGCGAAATGGATGAAATGAAGGGCCGAACTCTGGACAACATGTCTGACATGGTACTTTTTGAAGGCTTTACAGGGAAGGGGGTCGAATTAACTGTGCTAACCCGCCCCACCCTCTTCTCAGCCTTACATCCAGTATGGTCTAAACTGGCCTCCCTCTGAATGCAGTAAGTCCTCCCTAGTCTACCCTCTGGCTTCCATTGAGCAGGTTCACCCACAGCACCATCTTCCTTTCCAACAGGTGAAAAAACTGAACGCCATGGTAGCTGAAAAAAAGTCAAGCTTGGCTCCCATCATCAAAGATCTAAGGCAGTTGCGACAGAAGTGCCAGGTGAGTATGGGTCGTGCTCGGGATGAGGCTGGAGCACCCCCACTGCTGTCCTCTGAATAAGAATTGCTTTCAGGAATAGGGGCTCAGGAGTATGAACTAAGGGGTATCGCTGGATCTTCACACTTAGCCATCATATCTTTGCTTTGATTGTGACGTGTGATGGCTGTATAGCTTAGTGCCTCCTTCCAGACTTGGTGATCGCAAGATCTGTTGGAACGCTAGTTCTAGAGTTCCCAACCAGGAGTGAATCAGTTGGGCAAGGCAGGCTGAGCATCTTGTGCGAACCAGGCTATGATGGCCTATTCAACAAATCAGGGTTGAAACAAAACACGGTTGAGCACAGTCCATGGACCCAGCAGCCGCTGAGTAACAGTTGTGGAGCAAAAAAAGTTTTGAAAGTTTCTGTACTGGTTTAGCACCAATATGGGGTTCAGATCTGGGAAGAAATCAGGAATGGCAGCATCTTCATACCCCAAAGCATTTGGTAGGTTGCTGTTAAAAACCACCGTTGTTTTGTTTCATTAGTCCAGTTGTCACACAGGGCCATTTAAGGAGGGGCGCCACCATTTAACTTCTCTCTTGCAAGTTTACTTCAAATGCAGCTAAATCAAACATCCCTGCTGCACTACGAGCAACTGAGGAACTTCCTCCATCACCCCTTAAGTGCATTGCATAGCAGTTCACTGTAACAAGTGGGAAGGAAGCTATGCAACTCCAGCTAGGAATCTCTCATGCAGGCTGATGGGTTACCCCACCCAGCAAGGCTCAGGGGTCTCTTGGATTTATGTAGGTGCCCCTGCGCGCTGACTGCTGATGTCGGACTGCAAGATTGAGATACACACCACCTGCCAGGGGCCACCTGTTGTATCCTTACACCTTTTTTCCTGCCCAGGAATTAACCCAAGAATGTGAAGAGAAAAAGTCCCAGTACGACAGCTGCGCAGCTGGCTTGGAGAGTAAGCGTTCGTCCCTGGAGCAGGTAGGAAAGGAGGGAGGGAGAGTTATGCTCCATCTTGCCCCTCCTGTTTTTTTCTTTTTTTCCAAAAGATACAGGGCCTTGATTTATACTAAGTGATGTTCAGGTTTGGGCTTATTCACTGGGGTTTACTGAAACAGATTTATTTGGGAGAATATTATTTCCCAGACTGCAGCCTGTGCTCAAAGTTGTGGTCGTCACCCTGCCAGCTACAAATGTGAGACAAATTAGTGGCACTTAATCCATGCTTGGGCCAATTAAACACCCACTGTTCTAGATTTTGTTTTTCTCTTTGGACAAAAATGAAAGTAGGATAACGTCTATCTTAGGAGGAAGAAGCTTGCATCCTTCAGGTATTGTTGGTCTCCAAATCCCATTCACCAAATCAGTCAAGGATGAGGGGAGCTTTATTCCAATAGCATCTGGGGGGCTTCCAGGAACCCTGTCCTTCATCTGTACCATTATCCGGCCTGGAGCCTGCGCTCTGGACGACGGGTGCTCTTGCCTCTTTAAAATGTCCCTTCTCTCCTGTCAGGAGGTGAAGAGCCTTCAGGAGGAGTGTCTTCAGGAGGAAAGCTGCTATCATCATGTCAACTGCATGAAAAAGGTATGCTTGTAAAATAAACTAGGTCTTTTCTGGGTGGGGAGGATAGCTAGTTGACTTCTAAATCCAGATGTTTCTTTTTAGATTTTCGAAGTCCAGCTGCAGCGTGTCAAAGATGAGGTGAAAATGTATGTTTCTTCAGATCAACAGGAAAGAAAGAAGGCAGTCAGGTAGAGAGGCCACTGGAGTGGGCAGCTATATTAAATCAATAATAATAATAATAATAATAATAATAATAATAATAATAATAATAATAATAGAGTATGGTGATCAAGCATCTTAAACGAAGTGGCATCTTA